AATGTACTCTTTTTCTGGTCCCTGAGCGTATTCAAGATGCGCACATATAATGCAAATAATATATTTCACAATATTCTGAAGTACTTAGCTAAGAGGCATTTGGCTTTTCAAATCTAAGAGGCAGAAGTGAGATTAAAGGTTGCCAGGATTAGATCAGAAAATGTGATATGCTGTAGAGGATTTTTGGCAGTTAGCTGCAGAATGAAACAGAAACAAGCACGCCCTGGGAGTTACAAATGCAGCAGACAACAAACCCTTGCAGGCAATTGATATTAGAGGCACTCGGATTGAAAAAGAAATTGTCAGAAAGCTGGATCAGGGAAATCACTAATGGAATGTAATGCTTTTCTAGGTAGGCAGTTCAAATCCATAACTGGTCTACCATGACCAATGTGCTTTCTTATGTAGATGAAGTAGCTGGCACACGGTAGGTAACGGATTGGATTCCCTCACCACACCTGACTCCAGGGGGTCCTGGTGGCGATAGGAAGGAGGCTGTGCGTTGTGACCTTTACTGTTTACACCCAGCTTACCAGCTGTAAAGCTCCTCTAACAGTTACAGTGCTCCTGGGAAAAAGAAAATGTCTGAAAAGGCAATTAAATGAGGAAAGAGCTGTGAACTACATCATCATGTTGTTGTAATAGTTGCTAAACTATGGGTTAATCCAGTTCAAGGATATTAGACCTTGAATCAATAAGCATTGAATGCATGCTTTAGTTCCTCCATTGTTAAACATGCCCTTAAAGCTAATCACATCCTCACGAGCTTTGAAGAAACATTGCTGTTTCATAGATATTTGAAATAATGTTGGTACAGGAGCATGAAGTTATTTAGTGTTGGTAAAGGAGCATGAAATTATTTAACTCTCCATGCTGGTCAGCCCTCTTCTCTTCTGCTCTTCCCATCAGATTAGACACAGATTTCATGCTCTCCATTAAGGAAATAAAAACTAAAAATGGAAACTAGGCACCTTGGTCTGTTTATGTAGAAGGCTAACTTTGAACCCTCCAACTTGCAGAGAGTTATTAGTTAGAATGTTAAAAATCCAGGAGGAATGACACTCAAGATTTACTTATTTCTGTTTTAATAGCTGAGGTTTGGCTTTTGCTCATTTTCTGTTTGTAATCCTTTAGTGTTTGGCTCTCATTATTTGCTGATATTTTAGGAGTTAATAAGATAAAATCCTGTTTAAAAAAAAAAAAAAAGACCTGAAAAGTAGTAAGAGGTAGAAACATGGATTTCCCTGTGAAAACTTTTATGACAAAAAGTTCCTACAGGAAATTTTGAAAAAGTAAGAAACGCTTTACTTTTGTATTGTGCAGTGTTAGGTGATACACTGAAAAGTAATAGTATTGCATGCTTTGGCACTATTACTCTCACCCAAAAAGTAGTACTTTTACAATTCACAGTAATTCCCAGTTGGAGGGATCCAATATTGAACTCATTTAAGAAAATATAAGAAAACCAATCAAAAAGCTTCAGACTGTTTTTTTTTCTTTTGGAAAGCTGAGGGGCTGCCATCACAAAGAAAAGTATAATTTGAAAAATAAGAAAAATGCTGTAAAAGTGAGTGAAATAGTTCATTTTTAGGTAACTTTAATTTCTATAAGTAAGAACCAAAACTGACAAGTTTAAACAGTAAATCTGATTTTGGAAATAAGAGTAGTTTTTGATAGCCTTTAGTGTCAACTCAAAGGCACATTGAGCCAGCATAAATATTTTGATGTGAGACTCTGTTCATAAAACATGTCCTTTACAGGGGTTGTTGCCTTCTGGAGAGTTCTGGTTCTTGACAGCAGCATATATGCCAACTGCTGCTAATAACTGCATTAGTAAAAAGAAAAAGAATTTCCTGGAGAGGGTTATTAGGAAGAAGGAAGAGATCAGATTAACTTCCCAGATGAAGGCTGCTGAGTTATGGAAAGAATTTAAATAACAACAAAGAGAGATGTCATAGTCAGAGAGACTGCATAGTTCCTCCAAAAATGGTGCCTGCGAAAGGTAATAAAGTCCATTTGCTCTAGAAAGAGAAAGCAAGACTGGTGTGAGTGGCCTTTATCTCTGTGTGTAAAGACAGTGTAGGTAGATACCTAAAGTGGCAGACAAAGGAAAGAGCATAAGAAGCTTGTGAGGACAATGAAGTTTGACAGGCAAGAATGAAAGGGAGACACATCTAATAATAGTGTGTGTTTAACCGTTTATCTCTCATTAAGGAAATAAGCAGCTCAGAAAATAGTTGTAGTTAACTTACAGCAATTACGGTGATGCAGTACGTTTTGAGACACTGCACAGTCAGCATTTGTGGCGCATACTTAGCTGCAGGTTTTGAATGGATGTTGGACATGAGCTTAAATCTACAGCAGACGTATCCTTCTTCGCTAGGAGGCTGATTGAGAGTATTTTAGAAGGACAGTGCTTCAGTTCTTCATATACTTTTGTCCTAAAATAGCTGGTGAATTTGGCTTGAACTGCTAGGTTAACTGCTAGTCCTAAAAATCCTTCTACCGTTACTATTAGAACTGCAAGTGCCAGTCATGGATCAGTGCCTCATTTTGCTGAATTCATGTAAAGATTTGAGCATTAATTAGTGTAAAACAGATTTGTTTTCCATTTCTGTCCCTGACTCTGTGAATGTGGTGAGTTGATCTTTCTGCATCAATTCCGACTATTAAAAAGGGTAAAATAAGTTTCCATGAAGGTTGCATGATAGGTTTGGTGCTTATATATCTTGCAGTAGTCAATCTTCAGCAAAAGAAAACATGAACAGTGCTTGAAGCAGCAGCTAGTCCCAATGTTTTCCATTCCGTGGGAGATCTCTGATCATCAACATACAAAGCTGTGCTTACTGCTTACCCTCCTTTCTCTTTCTTATGCAAGACGTTTTGTGTTCCTTTCTGTACAAAGGCCTGAGTTCACCTGCACAAGAGGAGGAGGGGAAGTACTCCCCATTCCATAATGGTCTAAAATTTGTGTTTAGCGTATATAGCTGGGGAATGGGAGGTGTCAGTAGGCACTTACCTTAAGGAGAAGATAAAGAAGGTAATAGGTACCTAGCTTCAAAGATATTCCTGGGGATGAAGGAAAAGGACAGAAGAAAGGGTAATGCCTCCCTGCAGCCCTAAATGCTAGGAAGGAGCGTGCTGCGAAACTCCTGGTGGTAAATGTTTCTATGTTGGGTGCGTGCAGACTTTCAGATGCTCAGCCACCTCGAGGTTTGTGTTTCCTCTGCATACTTTGCTGCAAAAAATAAATGTTTCTATGTTGGATGCGTGCAGACTTTCAGATAGTTTTGATGCTCAGCCACCTCGAGGTTTGCGTTTCCTCTGCATACTTTGCTGCAAAAAAAGCTAAGGGGCCCAACAAGTCGATCTAGATTCCCAGACACCCAGAAGTTAGGCATTGCAACGTTCACTCTTTTATACTTTCTTTAGGATCTAATCCTAAATTAGTTAAGAGAGTAACGAGTATCCCAGTCCGGTCCACCATTGCACTTCAGATGTGTTATGAGCAAAGTAATAACTCTACCTGCTTTTTCTTTGCTTCAAGGCACTAGTGAAGTTGACCTCAGCTTTGCTCTTACATAGAGCTTCAAGTGCTGGCAGCAGCTGACTGCCATTGTGTCTGCACACCTCTGGCAGTGGTACACTGCTGAGCTGTGCCTCTGTGAAGCATGTGCTGCCCCCACAGCCTGAACAGCCCCTGGCAGGGAGTCTGGAAAGGGCTGATAAAAAGGTTTGGGGTGGGAGACACAGGAAAAACTGTCAAGCCCAGAGGTTCATCTGTACTGAAGTCTGGAGAGTATGGACCTGGCCTGCCGTGGCATTGTAGGGCAGGCTCCAGTAATAGTATTCAGAGTTTCCTAGAGTTCCCAGAAGACTATTTGCTCATTTATTCTGACTTTTCCATGTAAAGCAGCTTATTATGTTTCTCACAGTATGCCATGAAGAGGGCTAGGTCACAGTTTGGGTTAGATTACAATGTGTCTGTTCTCTGTCTTGGAGGTTAAACCTTTGTACACTATCAGCAGAAAGCAGGGAGTAGTTAAGGACCACTGAAACCTGAAATGGGACATCTGACCAGTTCCCAAGCAGGCTGAAGCTTAGGCTCTGTCAGTACTGTATTATGTAGGAAAGCAACCAAAGGAGGACCACTGCTCCCATCCCCAGTATGCAACCACCAAGTATCTGGAAATCTTTCATTGCCTTTGGTAACGCTCCTCTGTGGCGCTGAAGAATGTTTTAGATGTTTTTTTCCTACCCATTGCTGCAATCTTTTCCCTATGCCTTAGATGATCCCTTCTTCCTATCTATCTGGATGTTTTATATAGCTCTTTCTTCTGCTGCAAAGATTTATGCCAAGAGAAGACCTGAATGAAGAAATTGGCCTGCTTTGCGCCTGAGCCACGCAGGCCTGCATCTCTTTGTGCTGCCTTGAAGGACCCCTGTGCGTGACTCAAATGCCAGAAAAACTGCAGCCATTCCTTCCTACTTCTGTCTGCCCAAGTGCATCCTGTTAAATTACAGGCCTTGCAGCAAGCCTGGGTCGTGCTCCGCAGCTAAGCAGTAACTAAAGCTCCAAGTATCCTGCTAACAGAACGTCACTGAGTGTAATCCAAGCCCTGACTCAAATCGACAAGGACAGGTTGGCCTCTGAAATAATCTCTTTAAATAGCAGCAGCCATCTCTCAAAGTCATTTCCCCTCCCCCAGCTAGAGTTGGAGAGCTGCTGACAGCAAGTCACCCACTGCTTCCCATCCAGCCGTCCCAGGGCTGGCACTTCTCAGGCAAGTGTGCCCACTGCCTGCAGTCTCACCACTTTGCTTTGCCCCTGGAATTACAATGAATTTTGCAGCACAGTTTCTCTACTCCAGGGTGTTAAAGAACAGAACGCCCAGGGTCTGCTCCAGGGAAGATGAAGACTACGATCCTTTTTGGCAAAGGTTGGAGAATATTGCTGTCTGACGTAGAACTAGAGTGCTCCTTTCTTCCCTGTAGGAGTCATGGTCAATCCCCGGGGTCCACCTAGGGCCAGACCTACGGACATCACTTCCCCTGGACCCCTCCTGCCTCGTTATGGTGTCGTAGTTGGAGCTTTGCTTCACCTCATTGTTTATTTTGTCGCTGTACTATATAGGTAATGCTTCCTTTTTCGTTTCTCACTTTCTAAAAAAGGGAATTGTTTATAATTTTTCAGTATTTCCCAAGGTTCTGTGGCTATTCCTGGAGTCATCCGCTGAAAGCAGTGGAGGTGTGAGGAATTTAAGCCTACGGAGTTCAACTTTTTACTTCATCATGAGTACTGCGTTAGAAATAAGCCTGGACAGGCCAATGGACTGCTGAAAGTTTATCTTCATCTTGTCTTGAAACAGTTTATTTTATGCCTATATCAGATTTTGTTGTTCACAGGTGCTCTACAGTTATATTTGTTCTAGTGTTTATGGTTGCCTTGGATTACTGTGTTCAGGCATAGATGGTGTACAGGGAAATTAGGAGACCTCTTGTGCCCCTGCATAGCCCCAGCTGGGGGTGTGCACTCATGAGACAGTTGTGTTTGCGCAACCTTTCTTTTAGCTTCTTCAGAGTTGTTTTCTCCCTGTGTTTTATTGTCTGTTCACTGCTGG